GGCTGAACTGCACAAAACGCATGATCGCACCGGCTAGTCTGGTGCGCGTTGCCATTTATTTTTTATGAAAAGCGGTGAAACTCGGAAGTAATTCTGAGAGTAGCAAGTGCAAACAGAAACCACTGTCTGGCGAGGTTGTTGATGGTTTCTTCATTTAAGGATTCCGTACTGTTAAGCTTGTGGTTTGTGTGACTCAGTTTAGCAAATGCCAGTGCAAATGTACCGTCAAAACGAATGAACGAATCGTAGAGGGATTGGTTGTCTCACTGGCGAGGTCAAAACCTCGATTTTTTGGACGATCGGTGCTTTTTACCCATAGTATTTGCCTACCAACAATGTTTTTTTTTAAGAGAAAATTATTCAAAATAAATATCGGCAAAGGGGAAAAATTTTCTAGATGTATGGAATACACATTAGAGAAGTTTTTGACAAAAATGATGTTTTAAGTATGTATGCAATGTGACATTTAAGTGAATGTTTTCGGAAGGAAAATAGTATGGGTTCCTAGTTTTTAGGTTCAAAATATGGTCAGTTCCTGTAATTTTCGATTTCCTGTACATTTCCCTCCATTCGTTTGCTTTTACCTCTTTTTTTATTTTAAACTTAGTTAAATCAAAAGTTAACCCCTCCTTGCCTTTTTATATTAGTTTTTTTTTTATGAAAAGAGGTGAGACTCAGAAGGGTAGCAAGTGCCAGTAGTACCACCGTCTAGCAAGGTTTTCGCCGGTGTCCTCATTCGAGCACTGCGTACTGGTAAGTTGATGATATGCGTAACTCCTTAGCATATGCCAGTGCAAATTTACCGTCGAAACGAATGAACGAATCGTAGAGGGATTGGTTGCCTCACTGGCGAAATCGAAACCTCAATTTTTTGAACGACCGGTGCTTTTTAGCCATAGTATTTGCCTACCGACAATGTATTTTTTTAAGAGGAAATCATTTAAAATAAATATCGACAAAGAGGAAAAATTTTTTAGATTTATTTCATAAATCTGAAGAATTTTTAACAAAAATGATGTTTTAAATATATATGCAATGTGACATTTAAGTAAATGTTACTGGAAGCGAAACAGCAATGGGTTCTTAGTTTATAGGTTCAAAATATGGTCGGCTCATGTGATGTTCGATTTCCAATACAGTTGGAGGGTTTGTGCTTAACTCATACTCAGTTCTCAACCTATGAGCCCGAACTGTTTCCTGGATTGATCTATCGCATGGTTAAGCCACGTGTGGTATTGCTCATCTTCGTAAGTGGAAAAGTGCGTTTTTAAAAATTTCTTTGTAAAAAATTATAGCAGTTCAGAAATAAGTTTGAAAGAAAATTTGGCTTTAGAAGAGTCGGGAATGTTCCCTGTTAAAATTTGGAATGCGTTAAATACAGGATTTTTTTGTACGTTTTGTCCTGAATTCACTTTTTGAGTCATGCATTACCCTCTATTTGTTTGCTTATTTGCAAAAAATTTGGAGGGGTTGTTTTGGTCGTTAAGCTTTTTTTTTTTTTACTCTAAAATACTATCTGCATGCCTTATGCGTTTTTCTTGAAGCACTATAGACTACATCGTTTTTCTAAACAAAAATTCTACCTCTCTTTAACTTTTTGTTCCTTCCTTTCCACTAAATTTCTTTTTTTTTTGTTCATTCCCTTCAACAAAATTTTTCTCTTCCGTTCCTTCCACAACCCAAGTCTTCTACGTAGCACTTTCGAAGCGCTGATCAGTTTGTTTTTCCTCCAGAGACCCAGATTAACCATGATCGATTTTCATTTGTTTCAAATTGACCAGTTAAATTCGAAGTCGATTAAAATGGGCATGGTTTTTTTGTTTGAGATAAGGAGGGAAGCAAAGTTCAGAGGAGTTGTGGCCCTTCTTCCTTCAAATACTGATTATAGATTATTCGAGCTCCTAAACCCAAAATGCCGTCTTGATTTTTCTTATCAAAACAGCTGACAGATTCAGAATCAGTCTTTTCGTGTCCCCTTACCTTTTTTTCTTTTCCCCGCTGGTCTCCCTGCTTTTTTGGCTATCTCTCAGGAATTGATCCGAAAATCGTTGGATTACTGTGCCAAGATTTCCCTGTATTCTTAGTATGATTTAATACTCCGAAAAGCAGTGATTTTGCCTGGATTTCTTCAGTGTTTTTGATATGATTTAAGAATTTTTTTTTTCTGTTCAGGTGGTCATAACGGGTGCCAAATACAAGAAGGATATCGATGATGCGTTCAATCAAATTTATCCCATATTGAAAGGTTTTAAGAAGTAATAGATTGTTGTATAAGGTTTCTTTTGTCGCCATTGGTTGATA